AATTAAATCGTCCCACCCCCCTCCCCGGAGAGAAACAGTAAAGGGTACACCAGCCGCGGACGGTCCTTCTCCATTCGTCTTCCTTCTCCCACGAAATTCATTTCCACTCATCATTCTCTTTTCCATTCCACCTTTTCTCTCCCACGTTTCCTTGGCCTACCTATTAGATTCTAAAATGTATCTTCGAATCAATCTTATCGACGATTATTGGGATTGCCCGGATTATTGTTTACACTTTTCATGTCGATTAAGTTTTCGAATCCTAAAATTGTACAGACGATTAGTGCGATTGCTGAAATTTAGAAGCATGCATTTGATGATTATTCAAGATTATTCAAAAACAATTTGAGTTTTAAATTTATGAGTTTTTTTCTCAATGCTAATTATAATAATATTTATTTATTTGAAAATAATCATGTATAAGTCTGAATTCTCCCAGTCCCTCATATTGAATTGTGCCGAGGTGGTGCTTGCTTAAATTTTGCAACAACACTTGTTACAACAAACAACGCAATAAGGAAGAATTTAGAACTTTGTATACATGATTATTTTCAAATAAATAAATATTGTTATCGTAAGCATTGAGGAAAAACTGTTATAAATTCAAGATAAGATTTTCTGAAAGTTAAACGATTTGTAATAGTCTCTGCTCATAATCGATATAAATCATACAGACTCAACAATGGCGATCGCTATCGTGTTTTGTGTTTTATTGCATCGGATTTGTCAATATTGAACCAGCAAATTTAATTTAAAATTATACGTGGCGCGTTATCGACGCGTCTTTATAAGCGGAAAACGAACAAACAATGTGACGACAAGGTTCGGAATTAGCTCGATGATGAAGGAGCAAAGGGAGACGCAACGTCTTGTTTGCACGGCGTTTCATCACGCTTTATTGTCCGTGGAAGGCGAAGGGAATTAATTAAAGTTAAACAGTACTAACTGACCGGCAAGCGCGTTAACTGCCGGCTATTGTCGGGAAAGTCGGGAATGATGGTTGGCCTCGTTCCCGTGGATTCACATAACGACTCGCGTCGAAAAGGGATCGCCGAGGCACCTACTTCGTGTTTACCCTCGCGAGATTGAATCGAACCTGCAACACGTTCGTCGAACATTCTTTCTTTTTCTTTCCCTCTCCTCTCTGAGCGAGTCATACTCGCGCAATTACTCCGTAAGTCTTTAATCGGAACAACGTGCGAATTGCATACCGCAAAAAGTATGTAAAATTACATAAGCAAGTTTAAAATTTGTACGATTTATATTGGAAATACATACATTTCTATCACAAGTCGTATAATTAAAAAAAAAAGTATGTAAAATTACGTGAACAAATCGATAAATTATGCTAAATTAGATTAGAGCTACAAGATGACGGAGAATTTTTCGAAGCTATGGGATCGTCGCTATACGTCAACGAGCCATTTCGTTTGGAATAATTTTTATTTTCAATTAATAACAACAACATTTAAATATACATTACGATCGACTAGCGTGAGGTATTCCCTTGTTCCTCTCGTTCTATTTGGTATGATCGTACAATAACAGATAACCGCGCTGTGAGTCCGATAATATTCCGAGTCGCTTTAATGCGCTTTTATACATTCAGCGCGCCGATAAGAGCACAAGCGACTTCATCGGACCGTAGAACGACGAAAACTACACAGAAGAAGACAGTTCACACCTACAGACTATCTACACGAATATATAAATATTTACAACGATCTTAAATTACTGGTAACTCAACGTGCGAGCCGAAACTGGGAAACACGCGCTTTAAATGAAAGTCAGAAAGAAAGAAAGAAGTCGAAAACAAATATACAGGGTGTGTCAAGTATCTTCTCATAGCTAGATTTCTTAATGCATTTAGACTCTTTTAGGTAAAATTGAACTGAATATTAATTACTATCGGTCACATGTTTTTAACCTTCTAAATTAAAAGTCTTAATTTATGTATTATAAATTATAATGTAATATAATAATTATGTTAAAAGTTTTTAATGTAATAACTGAATAATCAATTTATCATAAAATTATATATATCCATATATTCATGAAATCTTAATCTTTTTAGAAAAAACTAATTATTGATATTAGATATTAAAAAGATTATTCTTTCGAGTTTCATAACATCTATAAAATTGACTGTAAATCTATCACGAAAATTTCATACCTATGTAAGAAAAATTATGAAAGTTTTGTATCCACCCTGTGCGTGAAAGACGTGGGTGGTCCACGGATAGCTGCAGTATCTTTTCCTAGATGGAAAGAAAAAGAAATCTGTGGGACCGCGTTCGCACGGGTCCGCCGGTGGCGGATCGAAGGGAAAGGTGACGCGGTTAACCGGCCAGGAAATGTTCCCTTACTCCCTTTCTCTCGCTCTTATCTGATCTAAATTTCTAATTTTACGGGAAACGGAGATATCTAACGGCCGAAGAGGCTCGATTAACACCGTCGATATACACGACGGGCATGCTAACGTCGCACCCTCCCGGACACAGATCGTTGTCTCGTCGAGGAACAATTAATTATCTCGACGCCTCGTGACCGAATCGTGCACTTTAGGAACTGGACACCGTACGCTTTTGAAATCCGTTAAAACTCTCGGGAAACGGACATTCCTGTCGTGCGGCACGATTGCAATTTGCGCTTAATTAATCGTTTGTCACGCGCGTATTCCTCGAACCTGTAATCTCACACGCGTGACGTATCGTGCGTCCAACAGTAAGGCATATAACACGAAATATTTACGAAATTTTGTAACAGATTACGTTGTGCTTAAATTTATGAACACGTTACGTTCAGCCTCGAACGCTCTCTCATTTTCGTCCGCCATGCAGTTCACGGCGCTTAATTAAGATTTCTTTTGTACGACGCTCACGCGTCGTGATTGAAGCGACGCGCCTTAAGATTTCCTCTGATATACGACGAGAATAAATTATGTCGACAAACATAATTTAACGGAAATCGGGAGTATCCTCGACTGTGACAACGATCGTACACGTGAAGTCTGTGCGGTATCTAATGGGGAAAGGTGGAATGCTGCAGCTGCAGTAACTCGTAAGTCAGAGAAAAAAGTAATTGAAATGCGCGATAAAAGTTCGACTCGCGACGTGCAGCGAATACTGTTTTTGTGTGAACTATGAGCTTACAGGATCTAAATATAATAATAATATAACGTACTTCTAACTAATAAACATATACAGGCTGTCCCATTTGTCACAAACATTTTAAATATTTTCGTTGTTTCATGACAAAATGTCTCGTCAAGGTGCAACCGTTTGCACCTCAGATATTTCGTCGTGCCTTCGCAAAAGATAGTCGAAGGCATATATCGTGGGACATTGCGCGTATAAACGCACACTCAATTCTTAATTATAAGAATCAAAAGATTCACTGAATATTCACAAGACTTACTCTTAAACTTAATAATATAAATATTTGTGATATAAATATACGTAAGATAAATATAATTAATTCTATATCTATAATATAAATATAATATTAATTATACATTTAAAATATAATATAAATATAATTAATAATAATAATTATATGCCTTTAAGATGTAATATAAATATTTTGCAAAGAATATTTACACGAAAATCTGCGTGCACACAATAAAATAAAATCTGTCTTTTGTACATGTTAAAGTATAAAATTTACACTCAATGCGCGCATCAACAATTCTCTTGAGAAACAATCTTGTATCACGTAATCTCTCTGTAGAAAAACAAGATAGATATATGTGAGGACAATAATTTTAGAAAAATGTTAACTCTCTGACTAGACATAGCAGACTATTACGAGCAAATTATATCGAGTTAATATCTTTTAATTGTACTTGATAGCAGTCTGCAACGTCTCTATATTGCGCATAAAACTTCAAGCAAGAATCTATGCCTGCTAGTTTTGTGTAATTACTAACGTCAATAGTAGCTATTTCATTGCAATTTGTGTTTGTTTAAAGTGCAAAGTTGTAATTTCGCTCTTTGTAACTATAATGTCATTCTGTAGTCGCGTCTCCATTTTCAATTTCAAAGTCTTGAGAATACTGATCTATCAAACAAATGCGGTTTGCGTACATGCTCACGAGTTTGCTCACGAAGAAAAAAAGAATGCGCGTAAAAAAATGAAGTAATATAGATAGGAATCGAAACTAACTTGAAACTCAAGCAACGTCTATGAATTCCGCCCTAGCGTGATAATTGTTCTATTATTATGTTTCTAGAGATTAATAGTAAGAACAAAAATCGATAAACTTCAGTTGAAATTTAAGATTTAAACAATGTTTTGCTTTATTATGCAGTATTAAAACATAAATTAGCGTGATAATTTCGTAATTATATGAAATCAAATTAATGGATCAAATTGTTATAGTCGTAATTTTTAAACTGATTTTCATGTTGATGCCAACTTTCCCATACTATTCACACTTAACATGCACGGATAAATAAAGACTTGCGATACTCTGCCTCAGGAGTCGTAATATATAATGTTATAATTATAATAATAATCATAATTATATAATTTTCTATACTATATATATATACAGGGTGTCCCATAATAACCGCCTAATTTCTCGTGGGCTGGTAGAGCAGATTAAACTAAACAGAAAAGTCCTCTACCATTTTACAAAATTCGCAATCGTTAACAAGATATTAATTTTTGAAGATTGGCAAATAAACGCGTATTCGTCCGACCCATCGCTGAATACCAGCGGTGGGACGGCCATATCTCGCCGCGTTGCTAAGCGTGTGGGGATAGAGTCTATCCCCACATGCCTAGCAGCGCGGCGAGATACGACTGGCACGACCGCCCTACCTCTGGTATTCAGCGGTGGGCCGGACGGATTCGCGTTTATTCGCCAATCTTCAAAAATTAATATCTCGTTAACGATTGCGAATTTTGCAAAATGGTAAAGGACTTTTCTGTTCAGTTTAATCTGCTCTACCAGCCCACGAGAAATTAGGCGGTTATTATGGGACACCCTGTATAATCAAATCCAATATGATTATGATTAGCGAGCCAAGAACTATAAGCATAATTATTAGAAATCTTTTTGTTCTTATAGAAAATTTAAATTTTATCTCATTATTAAAAAAGTAAAAATTTCAACAATAATTTGGCATTAATAAGATACGATCCCGTCGTATTTATTATACGTTTTTGAAGCAGAACGTCGTATATCTTAGCAACAGCTTATTAAGATTACGAACGGCATAGGGAGAACGGAAATACGGTGAGAAATAATAAAATTAAATTGCAACTACATTCGGTCAACTACTCTCTAAATTTTCTGGAGTGACTTTTTACTCTTTTGGAGAGAATTCCACTCCAAATGAGTGAAAATACTGCCACTCAAGTAGCCGAGTGACAGTATTTTCAATCTGGAGATTCACTCCAGAAAATTTAGAGAGATATATTAAATTAATAGCAGTCATATAAAAAAATAAAAATTATTACCGGCACAAATTTTTCTCGGCACTCTTGAAGCCAATCCAGCTGGTGCTAGAAGAGCGCACAAATTAAAATATATAATTGATAATAATAATGAAGTAATCAACTGAGGTATGTGTATAATAATATACTAAAATGTATAATAATAATAATGTAATAATAATTCGTAGATAATGAATTTGTAGATAATGCGTAGAAAATGAGAAAAACTATAATACAGAGCAAACAAAAGATGAGATGCACGCAGATTAAAGAAATTGCGATCTTATGAACGCCTCATAATGTCCTCTATAGTGAAGCCAAGTTTGTGCGTACTGCTCTTCGGTATTGGCAGGAGACCGCTCACCCGCTCTGTCATTTGTCTAACCTCCGACGACATGATCCTCGTGTTCGACGGCACCGAGGTCTCGATTCTGAGGTCCTGCGGAACGTCCGTGTGCGTGAGAAGGTGCGTCTTGAGATTGCTTCTCTGATTGAAGCTCCGGCCGCACACCTGACACTTGTGCGGCGACTCCTCCATATGCATGACTTTATGAACCGCCAGAGTCCTACTTTGGCAAAACCCTTTGCCGCACTCGTTACATTTGAACGGCTTCTCCTTGCTGTGTATATATCTAAAATGTAAAAAAAAATTCGTCAGCCCGATGATTGACGGACCCGAGCTGGCGAATCTCTTCCCTTTAATACTTTTGCGTAGGCGAACTATATAGGTATAACGTGAGTTTTACGTCTGCACACGTATACGTGTTCTGATAAATAATAATTATATAAATATTGCAATAATTTAACTAATTTCTAGTAAACTAATTTCTTTTATGATACTTGATAATTCTTGCTTTCTTCTCGGTAATTTTAATTAATTCCATTTTTTCTCTTTCATCTCCAATCAATATATATAATTGCACATTGCTTCTGTCATCAATATATTAATGACAGAAGCAAATTGATATTTCCTATTTTCACAGGAATATGGACAATACAAAGCACATCGATAAACAGTAAATACGCGATATTTTTATGCGCGATTCTCATGCGGAACAAAAATAAAATTTTTGTGGACGCAAGAAACTTAATTTTTAACAAAAATTTTATATACAATTAGTATAAAATCACCGAAATTATAGTAGCTTTCATTTGACGGTTGTATGCTGATACATACTCTTAATTGGCTTTGTTTTAATTAATTCTTATGTGTAATCTCACACACACGCAGAGGACATGTGATCCAGAAATACTTGAGAAGCAGTCTCGTAAAAAGTAAATTTGTGAAAAATTATTCAATCTATACACGGAGAGAATTTTTTTTTAAATTTATCCTGCAAATCATGTTAATTATAAGACAATATAGTATTTAGGCAAATTTTACTGTGCGCTACAATAAATTTTACTGCGAAATCTTATTGTAGTGCACAGTAAAATTTACCTAAATATTATATTGTCTCACAATTAACGTGATTTTCAGGGTAAATTTTAAAAGAAAATTCTCTCCGTGTAGATTGAATATTTTTGTGCGCCAGATTATAATAGCCAGATGGTAATGATACTCAATTGATAATTATATCAGTCTAGAATCTAGATAAATATATTAACACAATGAAATTTTACGCTGACGCTCAATGACGATTATAATGAAAAATAAATATTTCCGGATTATTAACTGACAATATCAAACATAAGTGAGAACAGAAACATCAGAGAAAAATTTTATAAAAATATTAAACAATTTACAAAAAGAATTAAATTATTAAATTTCCTAAAATCTATTTCCTAAGTTTTTCTATATCTATATCATTTATCAAAAAAATTATTAGAATTAAATATATATTTTCAAAAATGTAGAATTATATAAAATCGTCATTGATCCGTAAAATCAGTGTTTCGAAAAAGCCATGAAATATTCGTTTTGTATGGTACTTCTGTATGTCTAATATTTTTTGAAGGTTACAAGAAGAATTATGAGGGCTCTTCACAGATGCTATCTTAACACGTCAAGGATAAGATATACAAAAAATTAAAGAATAGACGTTCACGAGAAATTACCTGAGAGCATTCAAGGGAAACTATGAAGTTTCGACGTTTCCATAAGAGAATTTTAAGAGAATTTCTTCTCTTGTACGATGTATATGACATTCATTGTGCTTTATTGTATTCTTTCCATTCCATTATTTTAATACATTAATGTGAATTTAATCAACGTCATTTTAATTTGATTTATTCTTATTTTGTAAAATCTCGTACTAATATTCCGATATAATTTTACTTATTTTTAATTTCAGTTGTGAAAAAAATCAGTAAAATCAGTATTCAAATTTATCCAAGTTCACTGCCGAAGCATTATTATCGTAGAAGTTAATAAATCACCATTTATATTGTTACCACTATCATATTAAAACCACGCGTTTTTTTCCACGATTTATGTATGTATATATATGTAATCTACCTATCTAAATTATTTTACAACTTTCATGTCATAAACGTCATAATTGTGTGCCACGCCGGTATACAATATATATTATCGGACCATCAGAATTGAGGAGTGTATTTCGAAAATGAATACTTACCGATGATCTCGCAGATGATCCTGCCTGCGGAAAGCCTTCCCGCATATGTCACACGAGTATGGTCGCTCGTCGGTGTGGGTCCTTTCGTGAATCAGCAGGTTGTAGCTCTTCGTAAACTGTCGATTGCAGAACTTGCAGATAAACTGTTTCTTGGGTCTCTGACCCGTCGATCTGCGGGCGAGGAACGACGGCGGCTGCGGCGGCGGTGGTACCGGAAACATGGTGCCCGGATGACCCTGATAGTACTGCAGATAAGGACGTTGGGGGCAGCAACCCCTGAACGTCAGCAGGGCCGCGTCCTTTAACCAGTTACTGATGAGGGTAGTTTGATAGTTGCTGTGTTGCGTTGGCTGAACGTGTTGCGGCTGGTGCTGCTGCTGTATGTATCTGCCGTTGAGGAAGTTCGATTTGGCCCATTTCGCTGAGAAAACTACATGCTGCTGCGGCTGATTTTGCGGTTGATGCTGCTGCTGCTGCTGCTGCTGATGTTGATGCATCGATCTGTCGATCGTCGGCGGTGTTTGCGGCGGCGTCAGCGGCTCCGTTTTCGTCTCCATCTGTGTGTGTATGTGTGCGTGTGCGCACGCGCGCCCTCCTCCCCGCACTACCCCGAGCGTCAAAAGCGGCAAAGTAAAAAACCGATCGACGCCGAAAACGACCGTCACTTCAGGAATGATCGATCGTGAGCGATCGACGCCTCGCTCGCGAGATCCACATAGGTTCAAATCGAGGTAACGAAAGGCGTGCGGTGAGCCGAACAGCGAGAGGGAGAGAAAGGGGACTCCGGGGGGAAAAAAAAGGAACAAGAAGATATTTACTCGAGAGTCGGCGCGATACTAAGGTCTAAGCGACCGAGTGCCACAGCCGGGACCAGGATCGCCGTTTACCTGGCGCCAACGACGACGACACGGTGGCTCCTCCTACCGTGTCCCGGACGCTGGATACGCCGGTTGGCGGCCCGACTTCCACAGGGGCGGAGCTTCCGGGTTGGGGTGACCCCGCGGGGCGTCGCGACGCTACCCACCCGTGGACAACCGTGCGTTCTCCCGCCGCCGTCGTCGCCACGCGTCCGCAAGACGCGCCGGAGGGGGTGGAAAAGGAGAGAGAGGGAGAGAGAGAGAGAGAGAGAGAGAGAGAGAAAGAGAGAGAGAGGGAAGGAAGGAGATTTGCCGCTATACGACGTAAGTTGAAAATGTTACCGCTGATGAGAGATGGAATGCGCACACGAGACGCACACACGTATACACGCGTATGTACGTTAGCTCGTCGGTAAAATTTACACGTAATCTCGTGTAAATTAACGTAAGTTCATTAAGTTCGGGTGCCACGGACTGTAAATCTGACAATAATTAATTTACGTCAAAGAAACATAACATAGGCTCACAGATGAAAAAGCTCGTATATCTATTTGCATTTTAAAATTTGAATGAAATTTGAATGAATTCTTTTTGTTGACGTTTTGAAAAAAGGGTTGTACTTGTGTGAGAACTACCAAGGGCTCTTTCTCATCTTAGGGAGATATGCCAATATATCTTATCTTAGAAAGTAAAAACTTTCGATTTCTCTCGACTACGATAAAATTGTGCAATGAAGAAAAATGTGTTTCAATGAATAAATGACAATTTTTCATTCGCGAAAGCAAAACCCCGAACGTGCGTTGCATGTATACATATAACCGACATATATGTATATATGTATACACACACACATACAACACACACATATACACGTGAAAAAAAATCGAGGCAATTCTGTTATTACAAACTCCATTGCAGTGAACGGACGAGCATGTTTCCAGCATGGTGCATCGGGTAATCGACTCACGCAAGTTTTCATGCGAGCCAACCACAGGGTCGACAGGCGAAACTACCCCTACCGTAGATAGGGATTACATATCACGAACCATTAGTATATAAAACAACATGGCGCCACTGGTATATTTCGTGAAACGACGCGAATTTGTCATCGTGTCCCAGTCGAATAGGTCTGGGCTCTTTATTGTTAATATTTTATGATATAATGCCGATAAAAAAAACGTAGAAAATAAAATGTGTAAATATTTGTCTTTTATTATTTAAAGTAAGTCAATAGATAAAACAAATTTATTTTTTTGAAATTCGTAATGATTTTTGACATACATATTTTTCTGTAAAAATTTTCGTACGAATTGTATACTTTTCAATGAAAATTTCATATCGATCATAAAATTTTCTATAAAGTAGATATGCTGAAAATTTACGATTTCTTAATTTTTCAGATTTTCAAAAGCCAGCGACAACAGATTAATCATCCTGAATAACGCGTCGATACATTGTTTCGTCATATAGTGTTACTAATTGGGACAAGCATTTGTTTTACTCTTAACAGCATAATCCATCTTCCTCGTCCTCGCCCAATACTCTTTCCGACGTATGGTCCAGTAATCTCATTATACGTTAACGATGCAGCACAGCATGATATTTGGGATATCGATGCTACCGATACATTCGCCACGAATTTACATCAACGTCAGGGAAGATGAATCTTTACTTTAAGCTGTATTAATGAGAACAAACTGATGGAACCTGTTTGGTAAACGATTGATTTTTACGATATTTACAGCATCAAGTCGTCAATATCATACGCATTTTGATCAAAAGTCGCTGAAGCGATGTTGAAATTAAAAGAATTTTTATTAAGATAACGGCACGTATATCTGTTTTTTTTTTTTATTTTTATCCCGTTAAATCTCTGTTTTTGTATTCGACATTTAGCATTAAACTTGAAAACTCAGTAAAAAATAACTGTACTCTTATATAAGGTATAAATAAAATCCAAAATGAGAGAGAGAGAGAAAGATCATATGCTAAAGCTAAATGCGAAAGATACAATTTTGCAAGCTTAATTTTGGAAATGATTTATCTAATAAGGATAATCTGGCGATGATTAATTTAAAAATACCGTTTCGTCGGAACAAACACATCAGAGAAAGTCGACAGTCGACAACTAACGCGCGGCAAGATATCGTGGCCAATACCATTATCGGTAACAATACGTGGTAAAGATTATCTTATCCACTTATCGATTTATAACAGCACAGACAGCGTGACACCGACGTAAAAGCACGTCGACGTCGCGCGAATTGAGAAGGAGCTCTTGTTGATCGCGCGGAATGACAAACGCGAGCTATTTACAAAGATATTTCGAATGTTTCGCCGCTTCTCCCACTTTGCGAGCTCTTTGAACAATTTGATGCCCGATCTTGTTATAATGTATTATAATAATTAAAGTTTATGTGTAATCTTCAATAACTTCGATCAAAAATTATTGAAAATTAATAAATTTTTTCATTGTTCATTTTTCAATGCGTAAAATTCGTGGAAAGTAAACGAAAACACCTTCAGTAAACAGATACACAACTTCATAGACACCTCGAAAGAATAATTCGTTATCCGTAGATAGAAAATCGGCATAAAAAAACCTTTTTTGTAAACTGTGTAACACACGAAACATGTCACAATGATACTTCGATAATTAGTGTATTAAATAATGCTTGTTTTCAATCAGAATATTTTTCCGAACTTTGTGAACTTTGAACGCGAGTTCTGCGTTCTCGTTATCCGTAAATTCTTTCGACGTGCATAAAAAAAAGTGCATGGGAAACTGACGGTATTTCACTGATCGCTTTTCGCCTGGAAAGTAATCTTGCACAAGGGAGGAATGCCCTGTAATCGTTATCGTTTCTCGATCACGCTGCGTGCAGAGATAGGATGAGGGGAGGATTGAGAGAGAAAGAAGGAGTGAAAGGGAGAGAGGGAGAGACGACTCTTCGAAACCTGTCTCGTATAATTCCACAAAATGTTTAGCATACAAAGACAAATATAATGGTCGCCGAGATGAGGTTGCGACGAGATCACGGGCCCCGGGCGGGGATGGTTAATTCAGTTTCAAGCTCCATCAGGCAGGCAGATCCCCTCGCCGCCCGTTCACCCCCTTCGCACGCTCTCGTCACCCCTGAAGCGTCTTTGTACGTCGCCGTCATCCCTCTATCTCCCTCGTTTCCTCTATTTCTCTCTCTCTCTCTCTCTCTCTCTCTCTCTCTCTCTCTCTCTTTCGTTTGCGCTTTGCCACTCCTTGCAAAACTGTACAGATACTGGAACTACCAAATTGAACATGTACTTGCTACACAACACACATCCTTCCTCTCTCTAATGTCGGATTAAAGCTCCTTTGAAACGGCAGTACATATTTATACGTTATCCTGAGATTTTTATTTTACTGTTTTTTTTTTTTAAAGAAACGTTAACAAATTCAAAACCACTTTTATTCTTCTAGAAGATACATCGTTCGTGTTTAATGTTGCGAGTATGGGAGGTAGCATAGAATTAAAAAAATCGTGTAAAAGCGCGCGTAAAAACGTATAATTACTAGAATATATTTAAAAGAACTGGAACTTACTTATGTGAAAGAAAAATTTCTGAGTTAAATATCTCTCAAATAATTAATGTTGGTAAAATATTTGGGAAAGAGATTAATGTGTGATTAAAGGAATTTTCAACGATTTTCGAGAGTCTCGGGTGAAAAATTGAAATATTACCAAATATTCGATTCTACAGAAAAGCACGTTGACTGAATTTTCTTTCTATCTTCTTCCCATATCTTTCATAGATTATCTATGTAGGTTCTCTCGAAGTCAAAGAACACTCGAGACACTGACATCTTCACCAGGCGGTGACAGTTTGTTTATAGCTAACTTTCAAAATGAATTGCCCTCGTAGCAAAGGGTGAAAAGTTTGTCACAACCTGACCTAGGTTGTGATTTAAACGGGTCCCTCTTATGGTAGAGTAAACTGTTACAAGAGGAGACTTACATTCCATAAGAAAACGTTTCGAATTATTTATAAATAACAGCTACGAAAATAATGCAAAATAGTACAAATAATTTAGTATTTAATCGACTTAAATATTAATAATTAAATACGAATTCGAAATTTTTAGATTCGGAATTATAGTGATAAGAATTTGACAATTTGACAAATATTTCGTAATTAGGTATATCGAGTGGTTTAAAAAATTGGTATATTAATTATTTCATATTATCAAAATTACATTATGAAAAATGCTTACAATGTAATTACACAATAAAATAATTTTTATATTTATAGTTTTCTCGTATACAATATAAAAAAGTTATCTAAATCAGTAAACATATTTATTTGGAGAGACATACAGATTTATTATAAATAATTTATTAAATTCCTACATTTAATTAAGTTACCATATATTTTTTATATTGTGTTTAATAACAAAGTATTTTAGCAAAATAAAATTATTTTAAAATCGTTAAAAATAAATTGTATGTTATTGGGAATAGTGTCATTCCATTTCAAGTTCCGTGTGTTTTTAAAAAAGGTGAAACGTCGTATTTAATTCGACACTATTCAAGTGGCATTCTAGAAGCCTGTCGAAACCACTGCCACTTGAAAAACAGGCACAGCGATTTTCTGATTTTCCGCTTTCCTATTCTCGACCACAGATGTCAAATACTGTTTCAGGACTCAGGTTACGCTGGAAAAAAGAAAAACTTTCTTATTCTGTTTTAGTTAGTATTAGTTAATATTCTATTAGATCCAATTTGTGTCACTCTTGGGATAACCATCCTTGAATATTTTTTTCATAAATCACGTAAAAATTGTTCTGTTTTGAACGTAGATTTTTCACGTAGAAATCGCTCTTTCGCTAGTCTCTTTGAGGGAAATAGACAAGACAAAATTAAAGAAAAAAGCATTAAGAAACTAACAATAAATTAATAATTATCTCTATCAATAATATTAGATCAGATTTTAAACGT